AGATAGACAGATAGATAGACGGATGATAGTTCTGGCTCAGATCACTGTATTGTCTAACTGGAGAGTGTCTTACATAAAAGAAGCTATCAGAGTACAAATTAAATGAGCCTACATTACTAGACCACTTAGAAATGTTTATGAAAAGAAACGAAGAGATCTTTCCTGTCTGGAGTAGAAGGGAATATTTTTGTTTGTTCTACCTTTCTATATAAGGAGCACTGTAGCATAGCGGATTACGAGTTGGGTTGTTAACCACAAGGTCCGCAGTTTGAATCTACTGGTAGCTCCATAGGAGAAAGATGAGATTATCTGCTCCAGTAATGATTTATAGTCTCAAAAACCCCATACAGGGCTGCTATAAAATGAAACCAACTCGGTGGCACACAATGCCACTACCCCCCTCCACACACACACACCACCACCACCACCACCTTTATGTATAACAAAGAACTGTGGGCATTGGGCTGTTGTTAACTGCAAGATCAGTGGTTCAAACTCACCAGCTGCTCCACAGAAGCAAGATCTGCTTGCCTGAAGATTTACAATCTTGAACCCCTAAAGAGCAGTTCTATTGTTGTTGTTAGGTGCCATCGAGTTGGTACCGACTCATAGCAACCTTATGCACAGCATAACGAAACAATGTCTAATCCTGGGCCAACCTCACTAGTGTTGCCATGCTTCAGCCCACTGATGCTGCCACTTTGCCAATCCATATCACTGTGGGTCTACCTCTTTTTCTCTGACCCTCCACCTTTCCAAACATGATATCCTTCTCCAGCGACTGGTCCCTCCTGACAATACATCCCAAGTATTGTGGCTGCACTTCTTCCAACACAGATCTGTTGGTTCTTTTGGCAGCCCATGGCACTTTCAGTATTCTCCTCCAGCACCACAACTCAAAGGCATCAATTCTCTGACTATAGTGTCTCTGTAAGCCAGAATTAACTCCGTAGCAGGGGGTTTGGTTTGGGGTTTTTGGTTTACTGGATAACAAACATTAGTAATTCCATTGAGAAATGGTGATGAAATTAGTAAACAAGAGGTGGGTTAAGGGTAAACAAGCAATGATTTCCAGTTTAGGATCATCTTTCCTGAGATTATTTTATCAACTCAATTCATAAAGTTTTTCCTTTTCTTCTTTCTCTCTTGATGGCTACTCATGAATTAAGCCTCATCTTTAAAGTACTTGCAATGTGATAACTTATCTTGCCAGCCTCATCTGCTGTGCCTCTGGCCACATTTGATGTCCCCTAAAAACTGCTGCATAAGACCTCTTTAAAGTATTCAAGAGCAAAGATGGCAGTTTGAGGACTAAGGTGTGCCTGACCTAAGCCGTGGTATTTTCAATAACCTAGTGTGCATGCGAAAGTTGGACAATGAATAAAGAAAATCATAGAAGAATTGATGCATTTACATTATGGTGTCAGAGGAGAATATTAAAAGTACCACAGACCACCAAAAGAACAAACCAATTTGTGTTGAAAGAAGTATAGCCAAAATGCTCCTTAGAAGCCAAGATGGCCAGACTTTGTCTTTCATAACTTCTGACATATTATCAAGGAGGGACCAGTCCCTGGAGAAGGACATCATGTTTGGTAAAGTGGAGGGTCAGCAAAAAAGAAGAAGACTCCCAAGGAGATGAATTGGCACAGTGGTAGCAGCAACAGGCTCAAGATTAGCAATGACTGTGAGGTTGGCGCAGGACTGGGCAGTGTTTTGTTAAGTTATGCATAGGGTTGCTATGAATCAGTACCTACTCGACAGCACCTAACAACAACAACAAAAAGTACTTTCAAATATGTTTTGCTCTTGTGGACTTTTCTGCCTAATTTGTCTTTTCCTCTCATTCTCACTTCTCCTTTCAAAAGTCAACTTGTTCAGAGAGTTGGCATCTTTGATGAAGCACCCAGGTCATTTTGTTAATTGCTTTTTTGTAACTTTTCCCCTACAACGTTTCAGAGATTTACCTACCTCTCTTTAGCTAAGTGAGGAAGGTAAGGACTATCTGCCTGTTTTACAATCCAGCCTCTAACACCATTTCTTACAAGGCGAGGTTCTCAAAGCATGTTTGCAGAATTGGTTCACAGCCACCATTCCTTTCCCTTCCTAGTACATTCTACTTCTCTACTCAACAAACTCTAAGATCTTTCTTTTTTATTTCTCAAATGTATCATCATCCATTGAGGGCATTATAAAAGTTTATCTCATAAACATGCATTATTATTAATATATAATCTTTTAACCATAGAGATCCCTATGAACCTAGACCCCTCATAGGCCTAAACTAAGGTCCATTGTTCCTCCATGGAAAACAGTTCACACAAGTAATCTTGGGCATATATTTTGAGTTCTGAAAGGCCAGAATTTATTCTATAAATTTATATTAAAATTACTTCATTTTAGCATCCAACACCAATATTAGGCAGTTTTAGTTACTGAAACTTTACTTTCTGGTGTGACGCCACAGGGTTGCTATGAATTGGGACCAACTCGAAGGAGCTCTGGTAGCGTAGTGGTTACGAATCGGGCTGCGAACCTCACGGTCAGCAGTTGGAAACTACCAGCTGCTCCGCGGGATAAAGATGAGGCTTTCTGCTCCTGTAGAGATTAACAGCCTCCGAAACCCTGTGCAGGGTCCCTATGAGTCGGAACCGACTCCACGGCACACAACAACAACAACAACGACCGCACTTAACAACAACAGAAGTTATTGAAAGTGAGGCGGTTTTTTTCTGACACGTTGTTGATAGGAGTTGTCGAATTGATTCTGATTCATAGCAACTCTGTCTAGGGTTTCTGAAGAGCAGCTGGTGAGTTTGAACCGTCCACTTTGTAGTCTAGTGCTTACAGAGCCACACCATGACTCGTGACACTTTGTTGTTATTATGTGCCATTGAGTCGGTTCCGACCCTGTATAGGGCCTCCAAGGCGCAGCTGGTGGGCTTGAACCGCCAACCTTGCAGTTCAAACCAACATTGTAGTCCAGCGCATTAACCTACAGCGCATGTCAGGACTCTGACACTTCACACCCAAGGAATGAGCTTCTAGGGGCTCTGTAAAATGGCGTTTAAGGTGAGAATCAAGGCAGCCGAGTTGCTTGGACACTGGCCCTTCACAACAATATTTTTTCTGTAAGTGCCGAAGCAGCAGCCTGTCAGGCCTCCATTGGGAATGAGGAGGGGGCAGGATATTTTTATGTGGCCGCTCTGGAGTAGGTGTCTTTGAATTTCCGATGAACCACCCACTTGTTGGCCTGTGGGGACCCAAAGACGGCGTGTGGGAGTTAGAAAAACACTTAAATTTAGAGGGCGAAGAGATGGAAGTCAATCTCTTGAAAGGGCAGTTCAAATGAAGAGCCCAAGGTTAGCAGGATGACAACTGTTAGCTGGACTAACAGAACAGTAACACAGATGTGCGTGTGTGTACTGGGGGGGTGGGGGTGGGGGGGTGGAGGACGGAGCCCAGAAGAGATGAGAGCCAAGAGATGGCTTCTAAAGGGATCTATTGAAATGTCAGTCCATATCCTCCGGCTGTCTCCCAAGTCGCCCGGGGCGGTCCCGGCCGGCAGAGGGCAGCACGTGGGCGGGAGAGGCCGGGCGAAGGCCACGGCGTCGACTGGATCGCAAGGGACCCTTATTTTGAGTATGGGATGAGACACTCGTACCCACGAATACCCTTCTCGACCTCGCCAGGCGCCGCGCACCTACGGCTACGTTTCGGGAAGAGGGGGAGTGGGTGGATGCCGGAAGGCAGTCCCTGCAGCGAGACTGGTGTCCCTGGCCCCCGGGGGACTGCAGAGTGCCTCAGGGGTCCCAGAACAGGAGGGGAGTGGGCTTCGGGGCGGGGTGGGAGGAGGTGTCCACATCCCCCTGAAGCGTCCCCGTTAGGCGCCTCGGGAGCCTCGCGGAAGGCGCGGCCTCGCCGCCCTCTCCCGGCTCGAGCTTGGGGCTTCTCCCGCCCACACTGCGCGCCCCGCTCCCTTCCACGAGTCCGCGCCCGGCCGCTCTGTTTCCGGGGGCCACGACCCCCGCCCGTTTGCGGCCAAAGTGCAGCTCCCGCCGGGCGCTGACGGCACCGGAGCTACGACGGTAGGGATCCGAGCTCGTCGATCCTCAAGCGGCCGCAGCGCAGGTTCCCGCTCAGGCCGTCGGGGAGTTGCGGCGGGGGCCGGGCCCCGCAAACAGGGGCGCGCGGTCCGAGGGGACCGTGTGCGCGGAGCGTCGGGCCGGCGCGGCGCAAGTCGTGGACTTTATGTAAATCGGGGCCGCGCCCGGGCGTCCTAGGTAGGATGGACCAGCCCCCCGCGCCTCGGCCCTCACGTCCAATAAGAAGAGCCCCAGCTTGACACCTGCCTATATACAGGCGAGCGCGCCCCCGGCCCGCGGACCGCGCGCACAGCCCGCACAGCCCCCACGTCGTGGGCGAGTGAAACCTGGACCCCCGCCACCATGACTTCCAGTAAAATCGAGATGCCCGGCGAGGTGAAGGCCGATCCCGCCGCACTCATGGCGTCGCTGCACCTCTTGCCATCGCCCACGCACAACCTCGAAATCAAGTACACCAAGGTAAGTGGCCGGCGAGCGCCCGCCGTCCACGGAGACTTTCTAGAACCTTCTTTTTCCTCTCTGATCCTGTGAAGGGTCGAGGGCAGTGTAACGGGTTCCCCTATCCGGGGTTCCCCGGGGCCAGCCTGACCTCTGGGCCCCCCGCCTTAGGGTGTGGGGTGTTAGCCGTCCTGTCGACGCCTCAGGGACTTGTCCTAACCTGGAGCGCAGCGCCGAGGGGTCGCCGTCAACGGCTCCTTCCCCAAACCGTCTCTGCGGTGGGTTTCTGGTTCTTTTCTCGGGGTCTCCACGGCATCGGGAAAGGCGTCGGGACGGAGGAGAAGAGGTTTCCCCTGCCAAAGTGGCGTCTCTTCTGGGTCCTCCACCTTCGGGGGCCGCTCGGGCTCCTGATCCTGGTCGGGTCCTTTCCGGTAGGAAATTGTCAGGACTCGCGGAGGAGCCCGGGCTGGTTTTACAAATTTCATGGGAACCTAGCTCATTTTGAACAGTATTGCCACTCAACGTTTTATTTGAATTTTATAGTCAGTGGCAGTTTCTCTAGACATCTTGAAAAGTTATTAAATTAGTTCCAATTAAAGAAGTTCGCTTTTGAATTGAAAAAACACACACACACAAATCTAGATAATGAATTGTGACATTTTGGGTTTGCCAAGCCAGATTTAAATTTGACTATAGAAATGAATTTATAGTTTCGCCTCATACTATACATTGTATTTACTATCTTTCTACATATTCGACATAGAAAAAAAAAAAAGGATTGTTCATTACACACATGGGAACATTAGAACGTTACAGCGTTTACGAGAGGACGGGAAAAAAGCCAGGTTCCTTGGAGTTCATTTACACTTATTTGATTTTCTATTCCTTAGATCGATTTCTGCACCAAACTTCTCCAAATTAATTTCAGCCCATATGCCAACCCATAATGTGGCTAAAGTTGTTTTCCAGCACGCTTATTACAAGATAACGAAAATTTGTGGAGAGGTAGATTATTTATAACAGAGAACATCATCAGCAAATTGAAACTTTGCTTTCCTTTTGTTTTAGGATACAAATCCGAGTGATTCGTACATTGACTGGATTTAGATGGATTTGATGTACCTGCTAGCTTTTTTAGGTGGTGTGACAAATTTTTGAAAGCCTTTTTAATGAGTAGTCGTTAATGGTTACAGCCATTTAAGCATTGTTTGCATAACAATAGTGCCAATGTGTGGCAAATCTCTGGGTTTAGGATCTAGTAGGAAACGCATGCAGCAGAAAGGTTTTGTTTTATGAAGGTCCCTAACCTCTACAGCCTCTCTTTAAAGGTTTTACGATGCAAAATGAGTATGAGAGGACCTAACCCTCAGGTTTAGGGTGTTCAGCAAGGGTTTGACTTTAGTCTTACTTTTGGTCGGATTTTGCTAATAGCCCCTGAAAGAAGTTTCAGGTTTGCAGTAGGTACCTTTCTTGGAATTTAATTTGGAAGCTCCGCCAGTTCTCTTTCTCTCTGACTACCCCTTTCTCTTTTCCCTCTTGTTCTCCCCCAGTAGGAAAGACAACTGATTTATAGCTAATTGGAGCCTTTAATGTGGAGGCTTTTAGCTCCAGGAGGACTTTTTATCCAGCATCCACTTTCCCACTTATTACAAAGAAAAACAATCAGAAATGAAATAATGGATTGAAATTTGACTCTTTAATTTGTGGGGAGGAGGTACCTTAGATTTGGTTTGACAAACAACCCTCATAAACACTGAGTAACACTAATCTAAAGGCGAGTTCTTGCCACAAAAACTTGCAAAATCAAGTATCTGTGAACATTCCCAGAAGCTTTCCTCCTCTGCTCTTTAGTGAGACTTCGTAATTTTCTGAGACAAGCAGGTTTTTGTTTTGTTTTGTTTTTTTAACTTGAAGAGCAGAAGCTGTACTTTTGATAGCCGTGCATAATGGGTAATTATTTTTTGCTTAAAAGGAAAATAAGATTAATGGAAAGCTTTAAAAACTTCTGATTAGAAGTGAGGGAAATTATATTAGCCGTTTGAAATAGAAGCGTAAGCAAGGTGGAATGGACAGCTAATCCTCTATAACAGTGATACCATATTAATTAGAATTTTAAAAAGGGTAATGGCTAGGAAATCACTCCACTTTGGGGCCTATTGAATAACACATATGAAACAAGCACAATATTTGTATCAGAAAATGGAACCATAACATAAACATAGATGGATCTGTAGTGAATCGTTTTTGTCTACTTAAAGAAATATATGTATATGTATGTGTGTGTGTTTATTGCGGAGTACTACAATATGATTTTATTATATGGTTTTCAGTATGATTTGGGGACTGTCATAAAATCACTCCTTATAAATAAATGAAGGAGCTCTGGTCTCAATCGTAGTTCGCATCCCTAACTACACCACCAGAGCGCCTTCATTTATTTATAAGGAGTAATTTTATGGTGGTCCCAATATTCCTTTAAGAGTGAGATAGAAAGGAATATTGGGAAATATGATTACAGAAACCTTGTAAGCCTGTCTTCAGCCTACAACTGACTGGATTAGCTAAAAGGGGAACTAGAATTTGCCCAGGGAAATAGGCTTCTTTTAAGCCCTTGTGTCACCCTTAAAAAGGAGCTCTGGTAGTATAGTGGTTACCAATCCGGCTGCTAACCTCAGGGTCAGCAGTTCGAAACTACCAGCTGTTCCGCAGGAGAGAGATGAGGCTTTTTGCTCCAGTAAAGATTTACAGCCTCAGAAACCCTGTACAGGGTCCCTATGAGTCGGAACCTACTCCACAGCTCGTAACCACCACCACCATAAACAGATGATCAGATTATGAGAATTTTAAGCAGCATTACTTGAATGCTTTGTACTTGTAATCTTGTATTTTTCCCACCTATCTTCTTTTATTTACTTTAATAGAAGGGGGACAGGGGGATCATCAGAAATAAAAGTTCTCTCCTTAGCCTACCAAAGGTACCTGGGAAAATGCTAACGTTCAATCCTCAAGGATGCTGAAGGGGCTAAACTTGTGGTTTTGTACTGACTTTCAGATAGTTACATTCAGCCTTTAGTTTTGCTCTCTGAAGTTCCAATGCCATCTTTAAAATATGTCTTTTTTTATTCTTTAATATTTTATTTTATTTTATTTTATTTACACAATAAACTGTCCTTGTTGTTGCTGAATGCCCTCGGGTCGCTTTTGATGCATAGTGTTGACCCTGTAAGAGTTTCTGAGGAGCAGCTGGTGGGTTTGAACTGCTGGCCCTGTGGTTCCTAGTCCAGTGCCTATCCTACAGCGCCACACCAGGACTCCATGCAAAATAAACTAGACTCCAAGTTTTAAAAATGATTCTTTATAAGGATTATGCAAAAAGACTGTTAATCACCAAATAGTGACAATAACTTCACCTACATTAAATAATAAAAGGTCCAATTTGGGCACAAGAGAATGTGTACAACCTGTTTGTATCCTAAGAAGACTTCTCAACAGGTAGCATAGGATTTTGGTTGCTTTTAATGATCTTTTATTAAGTAAAGTTTTTCTGAGTTGTTTCCATTTTATCGGTCTGGTTTTTGGAATTTTGCATAGTTCAAGTTAGGGATATTTATAACTCAAAAACCCAGTGACCCCTCGAGTAGATTCCAACTCTATAGGATAAAATAGCAAAATCGAATTTGCCTAAAGGGTTTCCAAGATCGTAATCTTTGAAGCCCACTGCCTCATCTTTCTCCTGCAGAGCACTATGTAGGTTCGATCAGCTGATCAGCTGACCTTTTGGTTAGCAGCCAAGTGCTCTTTAGTAATACATATGCGCATATTAAAATCAAGACTCAGCACTTTAGGATAGTCCTTCCAGTTCCCCAGAAGGTCTTTGGAAATTTGCTATCTATACCTCACCTCTGCTTTCTCCATTGCTGTGACCTCTATAGGTCCAGCCCCCACCCCACCCCGCTACCTCCACCACCCACCTACCCCGTCTACCTACACATTTTGAGATCTTTCTGTTGAGCTTTTTATTTTTTTCCAGTGAGAGTTTATACTTAGAACAGACGGTATTGGTAAAAAGTTATGCTTTCATCCAGCATCCAATTCTTTGGGGAAGTAGAATGTTGATTGAGTACTGACTTACTAAACTGTTGTTATTGTGTGCCAAGTAGTGGGTCCCGACTCATAGCCACTTTACAGGGTTTCTGAGGAGCACAACTGGTGGGTTTGAACTTCTGACTTTGTGATTAGCAGTCCAGTGCATATCTTATAGCGCCACACCCCAAGACTCTACCTGCTAAACTGTTGTTGTTGTTAAGTGCTGTTAAGTTGGTTCTGACTCATAGCAACTCTGTATAGGGTTTCTGAGGAACAATTTATGAGCCTGAACCACCGACCTTGCAGTTCAAACTGACCTACTAAACTAGATGAGAAAAAATAAAGAATCAAATGAAAAATCAAAACTAATGTGTACTGAGTGCTGCCTGTTGCTGTTGTTATGTGCCGTGGAGTTGGTTCCGACTCATAGTGACCCTGCACAGGATTTCTGAGGCTGTTAATCTTTACGGGAGCAGAACGCCTCAGCTTTCTCCCGCGGAGCAGCTGGTAGTTTCGAACTGCTGACCTTGCGGTTCGCAGCCAGATTCGTAACCACTACGCTACCAGAACTCCTTTACTATCTCTTATTTATCCATTTAACAAGCTTACTGAATATCTATTGGCAAAAGGTTCACTTTCAGTTCATCCAGTGGATATCTGAGTGGCCAAGTTCCTAGGGCTAGTGCTTTCCACACTGCCACTTGGACTGTGGAAACATCTGTCTTCTAGTTTAGGGCCAATAAGATTTTTTTGCTCAAATTTGGCAGTTAATAAGAATAGTGATCCTTAGTCCATCCATATAGTAACAATGGTAATAATATTTATACTATTACTGACATTTGCATGCTGTTGTTGTACCTAGTGATTTACTTAACACTTTCATATACAAAGTGTTTGATCCTTGCCAAAGCCTTTTGGAGAACACAGGGTAGTAG